ATAAAGACGGAAAATTGGAAAAATAAAACCCGCATCTTTTTCAATAATAATCTGCGATGCCATGGAATTTTCTAAAACAAAATGATATCCAGTTATCAATTAGCAGCAGTTCGAAATGGATTTTATGATCGACTTGGTTACTTTCTTGCAGTTAATGGTAACTTATTCGAACATTTATTGTAAATTGTTATATTAGGAAACCGTTTTTAGTAATTTGGTCTTTCTTTATGTTGAATTCGCTGTTCTAAATATAATACTTTTTGATACAATTTGATTTGTTTTATAGCAGACATTCCATGGCATGACGGATATTGGGGTAGTTTTTGTATTATAAAATTCCATGGCATCACAGATTATTGAAAAAGATGGGGGTTTTATTTTTCCAATTTTCCGTGTTTATTATGAAAAACATTGAAAACTAATACGGTTGATTGTCGTAAAAAATACATTTTTGCTCTAAAATAATTTGGGAAGCCAATAATCGCATGTTATGAGTTTTACATTGAAATCCCTATGATGCGTTACGCAAGTCACCACCCTGTATACACGCAATTGTAGAGCAAAGGTGTTTAGTTTGCGAGATTCTGTTAAAATTCTAACTGCCCATATGGTGCAAGTACGCGCACGAAAAGTGTACAAAGAAAGGCACACTCCACGTTCGACATGTTCTGCAAGTTTGCTGCATTCCGAAGGTTTACCTTTAATAAAAGGTTTGGGGTCTGGTGAGGTGCAATAGGAAATTAGTAACAGAGCTGCATAATAGTTCTTATTTAATAGCAGATATTGAATTGAAATTCTTTAGATTTGAATGAGTAGACTAAGTATCTCTTTAACTGTAAGGGTAGATAAGGTAAAACAACGGATGCGCATTCCAATGACGTCTGTCATTCTTAAAAAAATGGGACGCGGACCACGAAATATAATGAAGTTCAGAACAGAATACACTATTCTTTCCATAGAAACGACGGAAGAACATAAACTTGCTATTTTGCATTTTCAGAGGTTTTATTAATAATTTGTATGGCTTTTGTTATAAAATAAAGTTTTCTATTATAGACGACGACCAAGGGAAACATTTTTCACTCGATGGTTAAAAGAAAACATTCCTTTATCGTTTTGTATAATAAACAACTATTATTTATTAAATAATTTAAAGAAAAAAACATTTTTTCTTATCGTAACCAGAGTGAGTATCGTGAGATTCATTACATTTATCGTCAGATTTGTTTATTCATTACCGCATTTGCTGAAATATACAAGTTCGTTCGCCGAAATACTCTTATGGCCCAAAATGAATGTGCAGAACGTGAATCATAAATGTACTTTGTTGCAAGAATTAATATCGTCATTCTAATTTTGAGTGTCTTCGACATTTTAATCATCCACTCCCTTATATGATACGATTCATTATCATTGAATTCATTCAGTCGCTTTGTATGCAAAAGATTCAATCTGTGATTTCACGCGGGAGAGACAATAATAAGATTCAAATCGTTTTGCCTTACGGCGTCCATTTCGAATTGAGTTTCGGAGTGTGGAATGAGAAAAAATTTCAAATTAGTCATATGGCTCGATTCGGTATATTCTAATTTATTTAAAACAGTTACATAAATAAATTTCCTTACATAGAGGCGCGCGCGCGTGCTCTTCTATGCCTAACTGTAATCGAAAGGCACAACAGCAAAAAAGGCGAAATTTAATTTCATCCAAGCTTCTTCGGCTTAAAGGGAGGAAAAATTATTATTTTATATTCTCCCTAACAGTACGGCGACAACATTTCGTTATGTTTTAATCCACTTTAGACTTTATACACGTGTCTTTTGGCTAAAGTTTATTCAATTTTATGCTTCGTCTACGCGGTATTAGTATTTTTCCCTTCCTTTTAAAAATTCGAGCCGCTGCAACTATAAACACCTCCGATAATTAAAGCGGGATGATGAGAGTACGCACACATATACAGACAAGTAAGCGAATCAAAGCAAGGAAGTGACATAGAAATAACGAGGCGAGAAATTGAAACAGTAAAGATAACATCTCGCTAAATAGCCGCGGGTTAAATCCGTGTTGAGGATAATGGCATTTCTGTGGAACTAAATTAACTCCCCCTTCGCCCCCAACTAAGCGGTTTGTCTGTCTGTCCATTTTGCTCGTACCTTTACTTACCACCCTTAGCGTCCTTCTTCCTAGCTTTTGATTGTGTTGTTTTATTCGAATGAACCCCGCTTATATTGTTGTCACTTCGGCTTAACCGGTTTCAATTTACATTTCATTTTAGGTGACGAAATTACGACTAATTTCAATTCGTGAAAATTGTCACGGGGGAGAGAAATGCCGACGCCGTTTGATGGTATAGTTATGTACAATAACCTCACTTTGCTTGTTCCGTAATCGAATTGCGCTGCGATTACAATTTACGGGGTGAAATTATTATTTTTGCCATTTACCGACGAGTGCTAACTTGCAATGCTATGCAAGTGAAACACAAAATAATGTAGAATGCTTCCTACACTATTCAATTACTTGTTCGCTTTCCAACATCAAAGGTTTGAAGGATGGCATGTTGCTTGAAACGTATGAAGACTAATAATACGCAAGGCGAGAGGTCTTATTATACAGTTGGATGTTATTATGTGTAGGTACCTTACCTTGCAACACCTGAAATATTCACCCCTCGTATACTCTCCCTGCGAATATTTATATAAAAAAAATGTCCATTCGCCGTTCAAAAAATGGTCTCATTAATTTTCATATTTGTCCCAAGTAAATTCACCACTCAAAAAACCCACTCGCCCATACAATATATACAAAAAAGATTGGGCTACTAGTTCAAAAGTTACAGCCCTTTGAATTTTCTTTCGAAATTGGTTTCTAGTCTATAACTTTTGATTGAGAAGTCTGATCGAAAAAGTACAAATTGATTTGGATTCTATGCACCAAAATTAATTAAAAAAAGTGTTTTCCCCAGAAATTTTGGTGTAGTCGATTTTTGGTAAAAAAGGAAGGTTATACCCTGATTTTCTCATTCTTTAAAAAGCTCGGCAAGTACTCCAGGACCAAACCAAATTGAGACTTATTTATGAAAGTAAAAGGAAAGACACCTGGGTAAATATGATTTTTCGCTGCCGTTATGACAAGAAAACTATTATCAAATTTTGGAACTTCCTGAAGAAGCAGCATCTATCGTTCCCAGTGAAAGAAAATTCAATAACAATCATCGTTATCGCCACGAAATCATCCGTATACTCTATTACTATTCATAATTCTGGGGGTCTTCTATGCCCCCCCCCCCCACATTCCCCGGTGCTAGGTTCGATCGCCTTTTACAGAAAACTGTAATGAGAGTGGTGATGAGGGACACGGTTTTCGGGGAGAATTGAACACCGAGTGTCTGGGGGTTTGCGACGAATCTACGTCCTTTAAAGTCGTGGTTAGTGGCGTACTTCTGCATAGCCAAGGAGGTCATATATTTTTTAATGGCAACTGCTAGTTTTCATTACATATTTAATATAGAGAGAGTGTTTTTAGATACAGCAGTATAAAAGGCGTGCACTCTAACAATATGTAATAAAAATTAGTGGTTGCTATTAAAAAATACATATACCCCCTTGACTCTGCAGACGTAAAAATCTGTTGTTTTGTAGATATATTGTGTTCCCGACAAAATTTTCACCCTGTATAATGGAGATGAAGATCTTCCCTTTGTTCCTTATTCATTTATAAAGCATCGCAAGTGTCTCAGATAGTGCTACTGGATACGCCACCCGCTTCCTTACATATTCACTGCATATTCTGTCCAGTTGTTGGACCGAGGGATGGCATTTTTTTCACTTCTTTGCAATCGATTGATAATTTCAATTAGTATCTATTGAATACGAATATAAAAATGGGATTCTTTGTACAGGGTGTAAATCGAAAAGTGGAACATAGGCGTTTAACATGGGAAATTACTTTTTCTTTGCGCAAACGTTTCCTAATTATTTTACGCAAAAATACTTCAAATAAAAGTTATAGAGATATAAATTCTGCATCTAAATCATGTGAAACGATTATTCTACCTCTTCATGTACGCGAAAAAATTAATTATAAAGATTCTGTTTTCACGAGTTTTTAGTCTAATAATAATTGTAATAATAATAATTGTATTTATTGTTCAACAGAAAAATATTTCCAGTAACAGAAAAATTTAGTATAAACTGCAGTGTAAGAAATATCAAAATATCACACAAGAGAAAAAAAAACATAATAAAATAATAGTATAAAACATTATAGAAAAAAAAAAGAATGAAGAAACAGAATATGTTAATTAAATTAATAATTTGCAGATGCCATGAGTGGAAGAAAACCTAGAAATCAAGGGAAATGAGTAAGTGATTGGAATTATCCATGTCTAAGTAGCCATGGACTACGTTTTTCTTTTATCATAGTCCATGGCTACTTATACAANCAAGAAGAGGTAGAATAATCGTTTCACATGATTTACATGCAGAATTTATATCTCTATAACTTTTATTTGAAGTATTTTTGCGTAAAATAATTAAGAAACGTTTGCGCAAAGAAAAAGTAATTTCCCATGTTAAACGCCTATGTTCCACTTTTCGATTTACACCCTGTACATAATTGAAGCATGATACAAGGCAAACCAAACTAAAAATCCACCAAGAGTATACCTATAATACAAAGAGTTGTAGCATATTATATTGTTGGTACATGTTATGTCATAATTTTTAGTGCCTAAGACCTAAAACTAGTACTTTCAATCCTACAGGGCGTAAACTAAGTTTATAATAACCTATCTCTCTAGTTTCTTTTAATAAACAGGCTGTATGCATATTAGAATGATAATATATTTCATATTAGAATGATAATATTTTTTAGTTTAAACAAAGATTTTTAGGTGGGGAACCACTAGGGGGCCAAGAGACACTAAATCTACTACATTTCATGTTTAATTATGTACGGGGGCCTGTTTAAAAGTGTCAAAATAGATCTCTTAAACATACCTGAATAATTTTGCCAAAAAGCGGCCCCAGTATTCATGAGATCAATCCCGGCATAACCCCAAGGTTTTACATCTGGAGGTGGCGGCGGCGGCGGTTCCCTAACGTTCTGATTATAGGCGCTCGCAGGACTCTCCACTCTCTCCTTTTCCGCTGCGCTCGCATGCTGCTGCTGTTCCGTCCTGTCGCCTCCTCGTTCGTTCGTCACGGCGTGATTCGTCGACGACGCCGTCGTCCTGTTGCCGACGCCGCCGCTCGTACGTTGCTGCTCGTTTTGTTGCGCCAATTTCTCTGCAAAAGACACAAACGCTCAATATTTATTCGTCCCTAATGAGTATGTTTGGTACAAGGCAACTGTCTTGTAATGTGTTGAGATCAATCGCAAGTTAGAATCCCGCAGGGTGAAAGTGGCAGGGGCCCGAACCCCGCTGATTGACAGCTTAAACTTACTGAACAACCGAAATCTATCCAAAGCACACTCGATCGTTTAAGATTTTCTAATATTATAAGATTAGCAACCTCTCAACCTTAGATACGTCGAAGTTTAACGCGCACGGTGAAAAAAACAACAAGTTGTAATTTGCTTTGCGGGGAAAAGGAGATACCTCTCGTGAAGCTTTTCGAAAACCATCAATATTCGATATTAACGTGTCAATTTTAAAATAATTCTCTTCCTCGTTCTCACACTTTCTCGAATCAAATGTGTAATTATTTTCCCGGGCACATCAAACTTGTCATGAAATGTAAGTGCAACTTACTGCCCACGCAGATTATTTAGCATAGTAGACTAAAGCCATCTATCGAAGGGGAAAATACATTGCCATCGATATGTGCAGTGCACGCGTATTATAAAATCGATAGGCCTTATTTCACTTTCAAGCGTCGACTTACACAAGTTTACGAGCGTCATACATTCTTCGTGCAGTCATTTTCAAATATGTGGGACACGAGGACCGACCAAAATATCTTCAAAGACGAACATTATGAAACTGCTTTGATAAGAATGTTTCGCGTAGGTGTAAAGGACGTAAAACTATGCTGAAGGAATCATCCAAGTAAAAATTATGGGCAAGCCCCCCGATAAACCACTGGTTAAAGTGGCTTATAGACAAGGATTTTTTTCTTTATATGCAAACGGTTTCAATTGACGACAGAAAAAGAGTGAATCAAAATCGCGAGAAATGCGAACCCTTGTCGGGTTTACAGGGGTAGTTTTTACAAAAGTAAAAGCAGCGTGCGATAGGTGGTGCTATAGTAAATTTAATCGTTTCGCTTAAAACGGGTAAACATTCGGGTAAGGCGAAGCAAATAAATTTTGATTAGGTGTATACCATTTGCGCTTTTCCGTTTCCGATATAAATAAAATAATTGTTTAACGTTTAGAACACTCAATTAGTTCATTTTTTCGAAATTCGCCTTTTTTAATTTAATTAATTATTTTATTACGGAATTGAAAGTACACTTGCAGCAAATGATTAATTTTTGACACTTGTTTACCTTCTGGTATTCTTTTGTTTTTTATTATCACAGCCTACTCCGATGTATAAACATGTAATTAATCAATGGGTACCTAGGTAATTTTGTGAAAAATATTGAATAAACTAAAAACTATGGGGTTTAGGCACAGGCCCTTATAAAAATTGAAGAGAATACAAAAGACGATCGAATAGCGAAATAAAATAGTAGTAGTTCCATTTGAAAAAGAATAGTTATGGCACTTTGAACCAATGACAAACAAGTAAAAGATGCAGGATGTTCTATTTAAAAAAAATCAGTTTTTTATCAATACCGTAAAAATGGGACACCCTGTACCCTGCCCTGTACATTCAATACTAATTTTTGTAGATCCGTAACCATTGCACAACAGATTTTTAAAAATATTTTTATGAGCTATGAAACACCGACGCACTGTTGCAGGACCCTGTATATAACGAAATATTATAGTATTGAATCGAAAATGTTTAGTGGCTCTTTAAAAAATGGGAAATTTTTAACTTTTGCCTCTTCTGTTTCAATAGGTTCCCGACCCCTGGTTTAGACTATGGTAAAAGAAGCATTAAATACCTATGTGCTTAAGATAATTTTCAAATGGTCCCCAAAATGGCATTAAACTTAGTTTTTCATTGTGGCAATTAAATTGTATTGTTGCTGTGCGCGATAAATAAGCCATCCTGTCTTTGAATTAAAAAAAGAGTTATAATTTTTGAAACATTGGGAATCTTTTAATACACGCGTGGTTACGTCACGAATTTCCTTTTATCGTGCGTAGTACAGAAATTTATTTCATAGCAGAAGCCATAAAAACAACAGTCAGCTTAAATCTCCCGTTGTTTCATGGAAACAATATTGTTTTCTGTTCTGAACTTCAATTTATATCGTGCTCCGCGTTCAATTTCTAATAAGAATGACAGATGTCATTAGAATGTACAATCATTGGTTTCCGAGGCGGTTAAAGAGATCACTTTAACCACTCTCAATCATTCAAACCTACTAAAATGTCAGTATAACATCTGCTATAAAATAAAGTGATCTACAACATTAAACAATTAAAAAAACCCCAGCAACTAAATTATAAGAGAAAATAAATCTTCATTGATGTAAAATAGTATTAGAAGACAAAATGCTTTTCATTTTTTTCGGAGAATGAGTACCACCATGTTTTCTTTCTAAGGGATGAACGTTTTGGGGAGGACACTAGCACCCGCGGATCTGGGGGGGGGGGTGTATAAGAGAGGTTTGATGACCTTATCTTGAAAGCAACGGTCATAGCAGTTTGGTGGGAAAGGTAATCAATTACTTCTGTGTGCTGGGGGTATTCCATACCCCACAGACCCCCTGGTGCTACGCTCTTCCAAAATGCTTTTCATTATTTTCTGGAGAGTGCCATCAAATTTTCTTTTTCTATACGCGAGAGCGTTTTGGGGGAGAACGTAGCACCCGGGGGTCGGGCGGTATGAAATATCCTCCAGCAAGGAGAGGTTTGAAAACCTTATCTCGAAAACGACTGTCATGGTAGCTTGCTTATGGAATTCTCCAGATAATAATAATGTGGGAGAACGTCGCATCGGGAGGTCTGGGGGGTATGGAATACCGAATACCCTCCAGCACACAGATGGAATTGATTGCTTCTCCCTTAAAACTACCATGCCAGTTGTTTTCGAGATAAGGTCATTAAACCTCACTTTGCTGGGGGGTATTCCATACTCCCCAGACCTCTCGGTGCTACGTTCTCCCCCAAAACGTTCATCTCTTAAAAGTGATTACCTCTCACTTCCTTCTGTGTTGGTGGTTATTCCAAACTCCCCAGACCCCCCGATGCTACGCTCTACCAGAATACTGTTAATTATTTTCTAGGGAGTGCCATCAAAATTTCTTTTTTTATGAGTTTTAAGAGATGAACGTTTTGGGGGAGAACGTAGCACCGAGAGGTCTGGGGAGTATGGAATACCCCCCAGCAAAGTGAGGTTTAATGACCTTATCTCGAAAACAACTGGCATGGTAGTTTTAAGGGAGAAGCAATCAATTCCATCTGTGTGCTGGAGGGTATTCGGTATTCCATACCCCCCAGACCTCCCGATGCGACGTTCTCCCACATTATTATTTTCTGGGGAATTCCATAAAATTTTCTTTTACTTTTTCATATAGATTTCTAAAGAATGAACGTTTTGGGGGTAGAACGTAGCACCGAGAGGTCTGGGGGGTATGGAATAACCCCCCCCCCTCCCCCCGAGTTTGGAGAGAGAGGTAATCAATTCCTAATGTGTTCTAATCCCCCTCCCCCAGACCCCCGGTGCGGTGCTCCCCTATAGTACTGTTCATTATTTTCTGGAGAGCCATAAAATTTTATTTTTCTAAGAAATCTTCCATGTACGAGAGTTTTAAGGGATGAACGTTTTGAGAGAGCACATAGCATCGGGAGGTGGGGAGGGGGAGATCTCGAAAAGAACTGTCATGGTGGGAGAGGTAATCAATTTCTTTTGCTAAAGGATTTTCGAGTTCATTTAGATGGTCTACATTTTATTTCAAGAAGGGAAGTTCTCCAAAAAATGAGGAACTTTGATTTTACGGTGGTACATTTATAAAGATACAAAAAATTGGGTCGTGCTAGTTTAATGTACTACGGTTTTGGAAAATTTACTTTTAACTAACGAAAAATACGAGCTTAGTTTGTAATGTGCCATCCTGTATATCATTTGTAATCGTTGTTTCGGATATAAGTATTTGACAGAAAGTTGATTTATACGTCAGGAATGGCATTAAGCGGGATGGATTGTATTTGCAATGCACAGCATCGGAGTACATATAAAAGTTACAGTGTAGGTTTCAAATAAAAATGTAAAAAAGTGTTTGGATTTATACAAAGTTTTTGAATTTTACGTGTAATTGATCGTCTTTTTTATTATATGGTTAATATCCGAAAAGCTAGTAGTTTTAAAGATAATAATGACAGAAAAATATACAGGGTGTTCCATTTAATAAAAGTGAGATTTTTAATATGAAGTTTTGCAACTTTGGACCTACCAAAAAAACACTCTATAAGCTATTTTTTTAATGTTTTATAGTAGATGTATTTATTTGACTTTTACTTAACCCAGGATAGAAGATATAAAACCTGGAACCAAAATTTAAGTAATATAAGATATACTGACGCTTGCAAAAGCCCAATTTTTCTTAAAATTCGAATTATCTTTAAAACTACTAGCTTTTCGGATATTAACCATATAATAAAAAAGACGTACAATTACACGTAGAATTCAAAAATGCATTCAAATACAGGGGGTTCTATTTAAAAAAATGTACCATTTTGGCGCCCTACTTTGTGTGTAATTCCAGATATTTTTAAAATGTGGGGAATAGTCAACCATATCATAATACAAAAGCACTCTATCAAAAAAATCTTATCTTCAAGGCATTAAGTTACTCCGCGCAATCGTTGACTCGCCCTGTACAGTAAATGAAACGTATTTCCACGCTACTATTTCTCCGTGAAGATGTACTCGTATATAACGAAACGGTCGGCCTCTGAAAAATTCAATCGTTTTACTGTTAAATACAGAAGGTGTCTCAACGGACATTTGTATCCCCCTAAAACTCAGCCAAATAAATCGTTTGGCAAAAATTCAAAGATCTGCCGCCGAGGGACCCAACTTTTATGCGAAAATAGTCCTAGCAATTTTTACCGTCTGGTAATTAAGAAACTGAATATGATCAAAACTTAATGGAAATCGGCCCTCTAAATTTCGACACCCTGTAAATTTTCTATGATATGTAATGCCTAAACCAAATTTAGGGCTACCGTTACACGGTTCATATATCTATCCGTTCATCTGCCTACGTTGATCGATTAGTCAATGAAGAAACAGTTTGATCAATCTGAAATGTACTGTTTAGTGTCTAGCTAAGAGATGGGATAACCGAGATTTAAGTAAAGTTAAACTAATTTGGTATAGGTACTTAGAAATAGCACTTTCATTTGGTTTTACATTGACGTGTCCTCATCAAAAGAGAAGAAAAAGGTTAATGGGTTTCATTCCTGACTATACAGGGACGCCAGACGCCACACGGGCTTTCCAGAACCTCTTTAAACAGACAACGGGAATTTAGGGGTGGGTACAGTTTACGAATGAATCGAAAGGAAGGAAGTCATGACGCTGAGGGGGTGTCTTGATTCGAGTTTTAGGTTTTTTATCTTTCACCCTGCGTGTAAAACATTGACAAGTACTAAATGTGCACAAAATTCAGAATTTTCGAAAATCGTACCTATACCTTGTGTGTCAAAACTGTCATTAATCCACCCCAGACCTTTGACGACTTTTTGAGATGGAAAGCGTATCAAATTTACATTGCCATTGAAGGAATAAAGACATACCTATTACCTATTGTGGTTTCAACGCACAAGGCAATTTTACTATGTTGTATAAGAACTGGACGAGCTTATAATTTTGTATGGTATAAGCCATAAGGTAACAAAACTACACAAATAGATTAATTTTAGAGCTTTGTCGCGAAATACATGATTGACAGTTGCATGGAGTTAAAGTTTATGCACACTCAAATCCTGTTTTTTAAAATATAAATATAATCGTTGTGGTGGTTTTCCGATAAAGTACCTACCGCATGTTTTATAATATTAATGGGTGTAAAATGTGCTGTTAAATGAGTAATATAATAGAGTTCGTAAAATAGAAATGGGGGCGCAAAAATCTTCGCTTTTCGCTCTTTAATTTAATTTAGAGGCTGTTAGAAGGCAAGCGTAATAGAAATGGTCGAAGAAGAAGTAATGGAGCTTATCTTACCATTTATAATACGAATTTGATCGCCGGCTCCCGCCGCCTTTAGTGCATCCTCAAGCTGCGCTCTCCGCTTAATCTCCACGTCTATCTGATCTTGTAGTCGTCTTCGGTCTCGCCGTTCTCTTCGGAGACGTTTCTGCATGAGCACTGCAAAAAAGGGGAAAACATTACTTTAGCGATTATAGGTGCTTTAATCCGGATGACGTGACTGGGCGCACTTCAACGTGTAGGTAACGTGCATCCCAAAGGACGGCGCTTTTAATAGCGGGACCGTTTTACATCAAATTCGAGTACTTAAATGTATTGATCATAAATCGGCGGCCTTCCATCTTGAGCGCAATAATAATAAGGTGAGTAAGCGAGACAAGTAAATTCTTGGACAGGTAACCGATAAAGTTGGCATGCTATGCAACATTATGCATCGAGAACCGGGCATTACCTTTCCAACGGGATTGGCTGTTACGACAATCATTGTTATACAATGTCTACGCCACTCCCCATTTTCTCTTTTTTTCTAGTTGGGCATTTAACAAAACAGCTGTACAAATTGTAAGTGTAATGAAATACCTATATACCCTTAGTTTTTATGCGTTTTCATCAATTAAACCGCTATAAGCGCCCAACGATTTCTCTCTACACAAGCAAAGAAAGTTATATAGACTGAAAAAATATTCGTCGTGATTCACTAAATTAAAGAAATTGAAAACTTTATAATGATCTCTTGGAAGATCATACGGAAATACTCGTAGATAGTTTAGCCATACTATAGTTTAATGGGGGTTTATGAAAGACTTTTTACCGCATTTCCACAAAAATAAAAAAAAAGGCGCTATTGTGGCCACTTTGTCCGTCCGTCCGTCCGCCCATCCGTTGGGACGCTACTAGTTCTTTATCTTAAGAGCTATTGCTCTACTTTTTTCGCTATTTGGTTCGTTATGGTGTCGAGGCTTGCACCAAACCATTTTTTACATGTTCCATAATTTTACACTTTTGTCGTTTATTAACGATCCTAGAGATCGTTTATAATTTTGTATTGCTGTCTGCCGTCTGTCTGTTGGTCTGTCCGTCTGTTCCTATGTCTGTCTGTCCATGTATCTGTCCGTGTGAACGATAACTTTGTTTAGAAATGTCCGATCGCTTTGACATCTCCGTTAGTTATGAACTGAATTGCATGAAATTCAGTGTGGGCATAGCTTTAGGATTTAGCCATATAATACGCAATGACAAAAGTTTTATTTTATTTTTTTATTATCCCTCTCTTGTTTTGGGCCCTCAACAGGCATGCGCCCAATTACAGAGTGACCCGCATAATGCTATTTAGAGCTGCCTCTGCAGAAGGTCTTAAGATGGTCTATACTACTCCGGTATTTACCTTACGAATTAGGAAAACTGCAGGAAAACCTAATTCGGAGTAGCCGGTAGAATGCTCGGAACTGGTCTAAGGCAATTTCCATCTCCGCCACAGATGAAAAATTCACCTCAACCCAGGTTCGAACACCCGACCTACGGATTTATAACCCAATGCTCTTACCACTGAGCCATAAATCCGTTAGTTTCGTTTTCAAAGGTTCTTTCTAACTGACGCTCGTCAAGAATGACCCTGTAAAGCACGCTGTAGAAGCTACAGGCTACTAATTTCTTATGGGCGCCATATTGGATTTTTACGGAATGAAATAGAGGCAAAAAAGAAGAAGAAGAATATCAAAATCAAATGTTTTACATTTATTTTTCAACAAAAACATCCACGGGTAACTAGATCTTGCTTAATCAACATGGCTATGATGGAGCTAGATTGATTTCTTTGACTTCCATTAGAAATAAGAAAGTACTAGCCTGTAGCCAGAGCTGGCACGATTACTTAAAAAAGGTATTCGATTACTGATTACAAATCAGTATCACTTTATCCCTGTAATTACAATTACTTTTTTTTAATTTGCACCTTACATGCGGACGTCTACATATTTTTTAACGAGTTCGTTTCATTGTTATTGGAAAGATATATTTCGATAAGGGCAGATATTCCATAAGCATTTAAAGATAGGTACACACGTACAAATTCACGTATCAAATCAGCCTGTGAAACTTGTGAAAACACCTCAATGGATTAAGAGATGTGTTGCCAGGTTACTAATAGTTCAATAGAATGTTAACCTTTTAATTTTTACAATCACACTGACTTTTCGCTGCATGAAAAATGGGGTGGGTTGTTTTTAGTCCAAATGTAGTGGTGGGTTTATTTAGTTTAGACAATCATTCACCCTGTGATGCATCACTAACGTTAAACTTAACGTGCAAGTTATCTCTAGAAAACGTTATGTTGCGCTTATACCAAATAACGCAAAATAACGTTTTTTGACAGATAACTTGCACGTTAAGTTTGACGTTTCTGATGCATCACAGGGCTGATTATCACTTCTAGTTCACTTTCAGTAGATCAGAAACAAATGTATAGTTTCGTTGGTTAACCACGCACAATAAACCTTTGTTTCTGTTGGCTACTTCTTAATGATCTAATGATAGTGAAATACTTGATGGATGTACCCACCATTAAAGGTTGGTACGTTTTCGAATAAGCAAAGTAATCCTCTTTTAGAGACACCTCCGAGAATGGAGTACCATCGTGTTTGTGTAATTCCAAAATTATTTTCGTTTCTTGTTCTTGTTTGCTAATTTTTAGTGTCTAGAACTGATTCTAATAGTCCGTCAGTTTCTTTTTCGAATTTATACAGTTATTGAGCACATAAATGTTTGACTGGTTTTGTGGTTATGGATCATCATGTTTTGTACCCTACAAAATAACACGTAAGACCCCTCGGATTTTCCTTCTTCCTTCACCATAAAAGATATCCAAAAAAATTAACAGCAAAATTGGACACAATTACCGTTGCCATGATTCTAAAATACTTTTGGTCGTCCGTGGCGTTCTGTGTTTCAGTGGCGTATCCAACTTAAATTTTTAATTGAACATTCCTTTTTTATTTAAGAATTGGAAAGTACGTACTTAATTCTCGTGTAACATATTAAACTTCGATTTCGCTGTTATAACCATTTTTCTTCAAAATGTGTCATTATTTTTCCAATTTTTTTTTCAGGGAATCTAAATCGTGCCGGTGGTTAAGTTTTGAATCGAGGCATGGGTTAAGACCTCTTCCACATAATTATTTTAGTACTTTATCGAAAAAACGTTATTTTTCGAAACGTTATTTTTCGAACACAGGTCTGTCATTTTCAAAAATATATGGTTAACATATTGTTTATTTAAAAAGTGTTGAGAAGATTTACAACTACTAAATTGAAAATGATGAATCAAGGGTTTTCTCTAGCTACGAAATGACGCCCTCCCTGTTGGTGACAACCGCTAGCTGGACTCGTTGGATTTTTTCGTATCATTGGTAATTTTCTAATTTAGTAAAGGACCTACAAAAATTATGTAAATTTAATTCAAAACTTAACCGCCGCCGGCGTGATTTTGTTTCGCAGAAAAAAAAAATTCGAAGAACAATCAAAATCGTTAAAGTTAAGGGTATAATATGCTACATAAAAAAATAAATAGTCTTGAACTACTTTCTAATTTTTCAATCAAATATGGGGTGTTTCATTAAAAACAACGTAAGTTTGAAATGCCACTCGAATACAGCACGCCACTGGTAACTAAAAATATTTTAGAAACATTGCGACGGTAATGTGCACAATTTTACGAATTACGATTTTTTGACAAAAAAAGTCCGGTAATTTGATAACTATGCGAAGAAATCATTGTAAGCTCTGTTTGAATCTTTAACCGCTACTCTTTATAAGATCTAATAAATTTGGATGCAATTATACTTATAAACTTGACCGGCGATAAAAATTACCTTTTTTATGATTTACTGCGCTAGAACTCACTTTGGAGGTTCACTAAAAGAAAACTGATTAAATTGCCTCAAAATTTTCGTATGATGTCAATTGTACCCTTTCTTTGTTTCTAAGCTTGTTTTTGTTGGTGCTAGAGACGGTTTTGAGTCACATCTTACTTCCCAAATAAGAGACTGCACTAAAAACTTCGTCTACGTAAAACGAGATTAATTAAAAAATGTGATTGAAAATAACTGAGATATTATCGAATAACTGCAAATGTTAAATTTCTTTTTCATTTTCCTGACCTTAACTGGTCGAAAATGGACGGTCCTCGTTAGCACTTTCTATTGGCACTTTTTTTTCGAAGAATCTAAATCTGTTATCTGAATTTCCGTAGCACGCTAGATGTAGAAGCGAAGCTACAGGCTTCTGCTTTCTTGTTTCTTATGGGCGCCATATTGGATTTTTACGGAATGAGATGTAGGACAAAAAAAGAAGAATATAAAAAATAATGTTGATTCAGCAAGATCTAGGTACCCGTGGATGTTTTGTTGAGAAATGAATGTAAACATTTGATTTTGAAATTTTTCTCATTCATTTCTCATTATTTTTCTCTATTTCATTCCGTAAAAATCCTACATGAAAATAAGAAAGTAGTATAGCGCTTGTAGCTTCTGCATCTAACGTCTTATGGAAATACTGATAACAGATTCACATTATTTATTTTTAGTTATTGTCCCTCTTGTTCTGGCCCCTCAACAGACTGGCGCCCAATTACAGAGTGACCCGAAAAAAGTATCCATAGAAGGTGCTAACCGGAACCATCCATTTCCGACCGTTTAAAGTAGGGAAAATGCAAACGAAATTTGACATTTCCTATTTTTCGGTGATATCTCATCGCCTTATCGCCATTCATTTCTGCGAATCTGGTACAACTATTTTTAAGCGGAAAATTTCTATGAGTACCTACGATTGGTAAAAATCATAAACTGCATCAGAGGAACATAATACGGTCCTGGAAACATTGCAACTACTGTGGTCGTTAAAGTTACAAAAAACGCCATAATACACCACAATAATGTAGTAAATATCGAACGCGTTTCAATAGCAAAGCTGCCATCATCAGCAAACAGCTCATAATAAATATACCTATTAATCTAGGTACAGCAATGTACATTGTGGCCCAATTTCGATGGGATTAAATAGGCAACTTTATTAGCGCAGATAAACGAAAACGGCTCAGGAACTCGTGACCTCTTTCTTATGCTTACGACCATTACCGTTGTCAGAAATAAGCTGCCGTCCTTTGT